CATGCTTAATGAATCCTAAGTGTGCCACGTCAGTTTTTCTAACTTGAAAAAAATTGTAAAAAATTTTCAGGGTTATTTTTTTAAATGCAAACTTGGGATGTCTAGGGAGTTAAATTTCCTCTCTCTCAAGATTTAACTCTATTATTGCCAAGTGCAAAATTTTGACTAAGGAACTTTCACCAATTTGCTAGAATCGCAATTTCCAGACCAAATATGATTACGCGTCCAAGATCAAAGTTTTCTATTTTGCACTTTGTTCTTAATACTATTAAAATCATAATTTAAACCTTTTAGTAATGACTTTATTTGCTTTACTTTCGACAATGTATGTCTACTAGGGGAAACTATAGACAAAATTTTAAAGAGCCAACTTGTAGAGATAAGATGTCTTTAGAAATTTATTCCTTTGACTATTGATAAATATTACATCTCTTTTATTGGTGACTAGTCTAGGTACACCTAGATTTATCTTATTGTTATTGAGTCTTAAGTTTTTGCAGCTTTTCTACAATCCAAAACTCACACTCGAAACTTTCAATGTCATAAGCTTAAAATATGTGCAGTGAGAGTAAGGCCTTTCTCCTATATCTTTAAAATTGAATCACTTTATGACATTTTTACTCGTATGTTTACTATCAAAATGGGAAGAGAAAAAAAACCATAGACATTTAGTTAAGAAAAGACTAACATTGCTAGCACAGACTAATATTCCTCCAAAATATTGGTGAGAAGCCTTTTGTGATATACATTTATATATCAATAGGTTATCAAGACCTATTTGCAACAAGTTTCACCTTTTCAACAGTGTACAAACATAAACCATATTATACATTTTTGAGATATTTTGGTTGTTCTTGTTTCTGATCCATATTCAAGAATTTAGAGTGAGTTTAGTTAGTTGAGGACAATAACAATGTTCAACTCAGCACCAACTACTCTCTAAATGATTCAAATTGGCAAACAACAACTACCACAACTTTACACAACGCAACAGTCCACAAATGCTTCCAAATGGAAACAATACATGATAGCACAACTAGCTGTAATTGGCAAACCAAACAACACTTCAAATTACACAAACATCTCACAAAATACACAAGACAAAGCAAAGGATAGAAGCTTAATAATCCATGGCTTAAAGGCTATGCCACCGACCAATGGAAACCACCACCAGTCCTAAGAAAAAGATTGGATAAAGGAAAATGGATAAACACTCTCAAAGAGTTTCTATTCATGAATATTCAACCACCCCCTTACATGAAAGAGATGACCATTTATATATGGTATACTCTTGGGCACTAATAATGGGACTTTGCAAACAACAATTAAAATTGTCCCCTAAAATTAGTCAAATTCACTATCACAAATAACCTAGGACTTTCCCAAAGTGGAAAGAGACATGGGGTCACCCAATGCTCCCATTCTTATCTTTGCCAAAATAGGAAAAGCTTGTAGCCACCCATTTGTTTCCTTGTCTCTTTGCATTAATGGCTCCCATTTGATTAGTTTTTGAATTTCTTGGTCGATTTTGAAGAGAACAGCTCCAAGTGATTAGATTGAACCCAAATACATGAATTGGGCCTCTTGGATCAAAGCATGACATACTTGTGCAGATTGGGTTGTCCTTGGATAAGTTGTTCTCTTCTAGCATATTTATTCCTTCTTGGGTTGACTTGACTCTTGAGGATGGGCTTGGCATTGACTTCTTCTATTAAGCTTGTTTGGGTCGAATTATTGCTAGAATCACAAATGACTTCTTCCATGGATTTTCCTTGGCCTAAATGATGAAATTTAGGTTGTTGATAATCCTATTTTTCAGTGTTTTGCATCAAATTTCAATAGGATTTAGGATACTTCTCATGTATTTTGGGCTTTAATTAATAATAATTCCTTGTATTTTCACTTTGCAGTCCTAGGCGATATTCGAAGTGAAAATGGAGATTTTAAGCTTATCAACTTAGAAAAGGATCCGAAATTAGAAGATTTAAGAAGTTCCAAGGCTGAATGGAAGTGTTCTTGAAGACTTGTTCAAAACGAAGACCAAAGGAATGAAGATTCAAGCTTAGAGGCAAGCAGAGGGCACTTTGTCATTTTTCAAGATAAGCTTAGTTTCTCCACGGTGAAATTTTCTCTGGAATTACAAGCATTTAGATTTCGCTGCAGCGAAGAAAAAGTTTTGTCACGGTGAAACTGCACATTTGGAGAAAAAAAAATAAAACGCGTCGTCTTGGGTGGGCTGCTAGGGTTTTCACCCAAAATTGGAAACACTATATAAAGAAACAAAAATGAATTTTTGAGGTAGTTGTTTATGAGTTGCTTAAAGTATTGATAAGTAACCATCATCAACGACCTAGTGATCGAGCAATGCCTAAGAACAACATGGGTTTGCACAAAGTTGATGTTTTTATCTCTCTTTCTGCTCAAATTGCAACACTTCATAAGCAATTGGGAGGTATGAAAGTAAATTTCCGTTCAAACTTCTATACTAATTTGTGAATTTTGTGTAGGAAACCATGCAAGTATGGAGTGCCAAGTGGAAAACCCGTTCTCATCCTCAACAAACGAACAAGTGAATAACATACTCCAACATGTATAATTCGGGGTGGAGGAATGTAAGGCTTTCTTTCTAGCTAGTATACTCGTAAAATAATCACTAAAACTCATTGAAAATATATATAAGAAAATACACATATATATATGAGTAATAAAGTATGGGCCCATATTTAATTTTTCTTTATATACAAATATTTACAAAATATTCTCAAAAATAGCAACTTGACAGTGTAGCCCGACCCTTCCACTGCGTGACGTTCCAAGCGACCGCAACTCACCTATTACCGGCAAAACATTAAAAACAACGAAGTGAGTACTAATGGCTCAGTAAGTAAACCCACTATGCTACCCTTCTCTCTCTCCGTTGCTTAAAATTCCGAATTTTCTTTCCTTACATCACATTTCCCAATTATTCTCTATTCTTTCCCTGTTCTCCTCTCTATTCTTTCTCTGTTTTGCTCTCTGTTTTCTAAATTTTTCACTACCCATGATAATGAGCATGGTATTATGCATATTCATGATGCAAATGCACAAATGCATAAATTATGCATTTTCTTTTCTATTTTTCTTATTATGTTTTCTGTTTCTTTTTCTTTCTTTCTTTCTTTCTTTCTATTATTTCTTTTATTTCTTTCTATTTTTTTCTTTCTTTTCTGTTCTTTCTTTCTTTTCTATTCTTTCTTTCAATTCTTACCGATCGGACTTGGTTGAGGCATAGATTTGGAGCCTTGGCCATGTGAGTGAATTCTCTAATTCTGGGTACAGTCCTCATCCACACACACTTCTAACGGACTGTACATTTCTTCTTTCTTAATTCTGAGGCCGCTCACTAAAGGCGGCGTGCATGTGGGACTATGTCACTCACGGCTCCCCATCGCAACAACCTTCTCTTCTTGTTATCTTTTTTTACACTTCTTTAAGAAAAAATTCAGATTTGAATATCTTTAATATTCTCATTTCTTTCTATTTTTTCTTTAACATATTTTAGGGCATTTTCATGCTCTTATGAATATGTATGCATGTAGATGGTTTCATGCTTATAATTCTTTCTAAATTCACATATTTAAATGCAATTATGCATTATGGAATGCAAACATGTCATTCTCTACCATCTACAAACACATCCCAAGGTAACACATAATCATACTCATACATGCACTTCTCTTTGGCATTTCATCAAACAATTCATGTGCACAAATCAACACTAATTTGGCTACACTTCTATCTCTATTTTAGGCCACCAAAAATTTGGAATAAACTCCTCCATAATTAACACCAAATCTGCCCAAAATACACACTTCAAAATTTTCACTTCAATTCTTCCAAATCTCATCCAAACATTCATCAAATAACAACTACACCAACACAACTTCTCATGGATAGGTTATAATCATTATTCAACACCAAATCCATCAACAATTCTACATATAACACATATATATGCATAAAGGTTCTCTACACAACATAACTTAAATCATATTTAGGGTAGGATTTACTTACCTTTGATATGAGCAAATTCAACCCTTTAAGAATCTCCTTTGATCAAACTCTCTTCCTCTTAAATCCTATGAGCATAAACCATCAAAATCAAAACTTTAAAAACTAAAAGTCACTTCTTAGTGCAAGGATCTTACCTATAGAAACTTAAAGATTGAAAATCCACTCAAAAACACCCAAAACCTTTGAATTTCCTTTAAAGAAGAATTGAAGAATTTGAGAGAATATGGAGGTGAAAGTGGCATGCAAATGGGTAAGAGTGGCTAGGGTTTCACTCTTCAATTTGATATAACATAAAAATTATATATTAGTTTCCCATTTTGCCCTTGTACTTTCTTTAAAATTACATCTATGTCCCTTAGTCAATTACCATAATGCCGTCATTTTTATTGCATTCTCGATAAAATTCTATCTCTTTTCACTCCCCACAATTTCAACTAATTTTGAGTGAAAAGACCATTTTACCCTTAATGCAAGTTTAAGGCATTTTCTTCACATTTTCTCAAAATAACTTTAGCAAAAATCAACTAAAGGTATAAGAGCATAAATTAAATTACGTACCTCCATGTGGGCATTACAAGGAACCACCCAAATTTCTCTTGGAGCAATCAAGGAGCACCCAGATCAGTAGCTCAACTTTAACAACTAGAGAAGAAATCTAATTTGGAGGAGATGTTTGGGAAGTTTATGCAAGAAACTATCAATTTCATGAATGAGACGAGGACAAATTTTAGAAATCAAGGAGCGCCCATTCAAAGTTTGAGACTCAAGTTGGTTCTCAAGGTTCCTTATAAGCACAACAATCACAAATCCCAAAGAAAGAAGGTTGAGAATTTAGAAGAGTTAACCCCAAAAGGAGTGGTACAATTTTGGAACAACCCCAAAAGGAGAAAGAATCAAAAGAATCAAAAGAAAAGGCTAATGAAGAGATTATAGTTGAAGAGAAAGTCATGGAAACTAAGGGAGAAGTGGAAAAAGAGAATACACCAACAAGAAAGAAGGCTAAGAATTCACCATCTCATGAGATCCCACTAGAGCTTACACCTCAAACAACGCCAGTTCCATTTTTCAGAGGTTGAAGGAAAAAAATCAAGATAAGAATTTTCTTAAATTTCTTGATGTTTTTAAGAAATTACACATTAATATTCCAGTTGTAGATGTGTTGCACCAAAGCCCATGCTATGCGAAGTTCCCGAAGGAAATTTTGTCAAACAACAGGAAACTGGATGAGGAAGACATGGTCATGCTTACGAAGGAATGCAATGCAATTCTTCAAAAAAAATTACCACCAAAACTTAAAGATCCAGGAAGTCTTACTATCCCCTATACTATAGGAAATATTCAATTTGATAGAGTTATATTTGATTTGGGTGCTAGTGTTAATTTAATGCCTCTTTTTGTTTTCAAGAAGCTTGGGATTGGAGAAGTGAAGCCTATAATGATGTGTATGCAACTAACATCTAGATCAATTACGTATCCCTGGGGTATTGTTGAAAATGTTTTGGTTAAGGTGGCAAGTTCATTTTTCTTAGCAGATTTTGTAGCACTCAATATGGAAAAGGATAAGAAAAATCCTCTTATTTTAGGCCGATCGTTCCTTGCTATTGGAAGGATGTTGATTAATGTTCAATTAGGGAAGCTCATTATGAGGGTGTAGGATGAATAAGTCACATTTAATGTCTTTAAGGATATGAAGCCCCCATTGAAGTTAAATTCATGTTTTAAAGTTGATGTCCTGGATTCTGTGAAGATTATAGATGAAAATCCTAAGGTGAAGGTGGATGCAATACACTTAGAGGGATTAGATGAAATTGCAAGCAAGTCACAATCGGTGTTGGAGGACAAGTTTAACCATGAGTGCACTTTATCTTATTCTCATCACAAACTTGGAAATGAGAAGTTCAAAATCCAAGGTAGTGTTTAATGCTTATAGAAGAGTCCAATTCTTGAAAGTAAGGACCAAGAAATGGCAATGGGTAGTTAAGCACCCCATAAAGAGTGCATGTGAAGAGAATCAACTTTTAGTGAAGTCTTGTGAATAGGGAAATGGCAGGTTGTGATTCGCCTGGATAGTCCAAATTGATGAAAGACATCAAGAAAGTCAAGCTTTTGACTTTAACTAAAGCACTTCTTGGAAGGCAACCCAAATGTTTTTAGTTTAGATTGTGTTTTTCAATTGTTTTAAGGTTGCGTTTGATTCATTGATTGTTGTATTACCTCAAAACATAAATTACCGTGTATATAGATTACTAGGTATAATTATTATTGTGCTTGGTTTGTCAGAGCAATATAAATGATTAATGTGTTTGGTTGACAATAATTATATATTATTGATATATTATTTTACTAAAATGCCCTTATGTAAGTAAGATTACTGGGTAAAAATTATTAATTTGTTTGGTTGAAAAGTATAAAATTCTGGCTAAACAACTCATCCTTGGACCTGAGCACAGTACTTCTCCAAATTACAGCTAGTTACGAAGTGAAAATGTAAATTACAATAATTAATTGATTTTGTTTTGGAAACTGGTTTTTTTTTTTTCAGAAAAATTAAAACCATTACAAAGGGAAAAAATTCTTCAATCACCAAATAGGGACAGGCCAATCACCACCCAATACACACGTGCCACTTTTGGGTGCTTTTACCACATGGCCTAAGCAACACTGGCCCAAGTAACCCCCCTCCCTTAAAAAAAAGCAAGCAACCTGCCTGCACCCCCCTACACCCAACAACACACCAACACCCTACACCTGCACAAATCAACATTCACCCCCTCATTAGACCTGCCCCAACACCAAATCCAGCATGCCAATTATGCATAAAACTTAACCCCATGCTCGTTTAACAAAAAACAAAATAGAAACAAAAAAAACCAACAGTATCAACCATCGCAACGAAAACAACACTACACACCATTGACAACAAGCCACCATAGGTAGCATCTCTCCACTCACAACAATAACACCAATGAACACACTTCCAATGCACACCACTACCTACAAAAAAAAACACCAACAATCTGTAACGCCCACATCGAGGTACATAGTTTTACTTATGCCATTATACCCTTAGTTGAATTTTGTTAAAGTTATCTTGAAAAAAATGTGAAGAAAATCCCTTAAACTGTCATTAGGAGTAAAATGGTCTTTTCACTCATAATTAGTTGAAAAAGTGGGGAGTGAAAAGAGACAGAATTTCATGAAGAATGCAATAAAAATGAGGGCATTATGGTACTTGACTAAGGGACATAGATGGAATTTCATAGAAAGTGCAAGGGTAAAATGGGAAACTATAAATAATATTATGTTATATCAAGAGTGGAAGAATGAAACCCTAGCCATTCTTCCTCCACTTTCACGCCACTTTCATCCCCAAATTCTCTCAATTTCTTCAATTCTTTTTCAAGGGAAATTCGTACATTTTGGGTTATTTTAGTGGAATTTCAATCCCAAGCATCCTTAGGTAAGATCCTTGCACTAAGAAGTGAGTTTTAATTTTTAAAGTGTTAAATTTTGATGATTTGTGTTCATAGGATTTAAGAGAAAGAGAGTTAGATCAAAGAGGATTATCAAAGCGTTAGGTTGCTCACATCTAAGGTAAGTGAATCCTACCCTAGTTATGATTGAAGCAATATTGTGTAGAGAATTTCTTTTATGCATATATGTGTTTTATATGAAGAATTGTTGATGGATTTGATGTTGAATGATGGTGAGAACTTATCCATGAGAAGTAGCATTTGTATTTTTGATGTTTGATAAGAGTTTGGATGAAATATGGAAGAATTGGAGTAGAAATTATGGAGTGTGCAATTTGGACAGGTTTGGCGTTAATCTTGGAAGATTTTGTTCCAAATTTTGGAGGCTTAGAAAAGAAGTAGAAGTATAGCCAATTTAGGGCTTGGATGCGCACAGAAGTTGTTTGATGAAATGTCAAAGAAAAGTGCATGTATGAGTATGCTCATGTGTTATTTTGAGATAAGCTAGTAGATGGTAGAGAATGACATGTTTGCATTCCATATTGCATTATTGCATTTAAACATGTGAATTTAGAAAGAATTATAAGCATGAACCCATCTACATGCATGCATACTCATAAGAGCATGAAAAAGCATTAAAGAACATTAAAGAGTAAATAGAAAGAAATGAGAATATTAAAGAAATTCAAATCTGAATTTTTATTTAAAGAAGTGTAAAAAGATAAAAGAAGAGAAGGTTGTTGCGATGGGGAACATGTGAGTGACCTAGCCCCGCATGCACGCCGCCTTTAGTGAACGGCCTTAGAATTCAGAGAGAAGAATTGTATAGTCTGTTATAAGTGCATGTGGATGAGGACTGTACCCAGAATTAGAGAATACACTCACACGGCCAGGGTTCCAAATTCATGCCTCAACCGAGTCCGATCGGCAAGAAAGAAAGAAAGAATATAAAGAAAGAAAGAAAGAAAGAAGAGAAAGAAAGAAAGAAAGAAAGAAGAGAACGAAAGAAAGAAAGAAATACAGAAAAAGAAACAGAAAACAGAACAAGAAAAATAGAAAAGAAAATGCACATTCTATGCATTTGTGCATTTGCATCATATCTATGCATAATACCATGCCTATTATCTTGAGTAGTGAGAAAATTAGAAATTGAGAAAGAACAAAGAAGAACAGAGAAAGAAGAGAGAAGAATAGAGAAGTGTGATGTAAGGAAAGAAATTCAGAATTTAAGCAACGGAGAGAGAATGGTAGCATAGTGGGTTTACTTACTGAGCAATTAGTGCTCACCCCGTTGTTTTCAATGTTTTTACAAGTAGTAGATGAGTTGCGGTCGCATGGAATGTCAAGATGCGGAAGGGTTTGGCAACACTGTCGAGATGTTTTGTAACTATATTATATTATGTAAAGATTTGTATATAAAGAAAAATTACTTATGGGCCCATTATTTTATACTCATCTACATGTATATTTTCTTATATATATATTTTTAGTGAGTTTTACTGTTTATTTTCTGAGTATACTAGCTAGAGAGAAAGTATTACACAATCCCATGCTCTTCCAACTGCAACTTCGCCATTCAAATGGAAGCAACCCTGCCAAAATTACCAAACATGCACAAAATAAACTTGTATCACACATTCACACCCCACTTCAACCCATAGTCAAACTAATCTCACATCTACACGACATTACATGAGGTTCATAAACCATAAAATTTACCCAGGTACAAGCTTGATGTAATTGAAAATGTTAGTTTAATAGAAAATCATAAGTTTTTAGAATGAACATATTATTTACAACTCTGAATTCACAACAACCCGACTGACAGGTTTAAGGCTGTATTGCATAACACATAATGAAACTAATTAGTCTATTTGTTTTTGTTTTACATAATAGTACAAAAACAGTACACATCTCTCAATTCTACCGAAGTCTGATTATTGATTGCTCCTAGCCTCCTTGCGTGTAAACAATCCTGTAAATGGTAGCACAAAAGACATGTTAAAGATTATACAAAAACTATCATGTATATCCCATACGTAACCAATTCACAAAACAAATGTCAAGAATAACTTACTCTACACGACGTCCAACTATAGTTTGTCACGGAAGGATTGAAATTCATCCGTACCAAACTAGTCCTTCATCATCTGGGTTAAGAAAAGTTGAATAAATGAGATAAAAAATAGAAAAAAAAAAATCAAATGCATCATTCTTTCCACATTTTAGTATACAAATGTTAGTATTTTCCCAATGTTGTTACACTTACAAAGTAAGGGTACCCTTCAGTTATAGAATAACATGATGGGGCTCCTTGCACGAACTTCAGTATGTGATAAAGGACAAAATACGCACAGTCTGTTTGGTTTCTCTACTGGGGAACCTACATTCAATTGGAGTCATTAACTCAGTCAACGTACAGTCATATGGTAATACATAACCAAAATTTTAGTTTGGTTCAAGGCCATAGTAATGACCTTCAACAATAGGAGAGGTATTTTAGCAACATTGTCCATCTTCTCTGTCATTTTTTATTTTCATAAATATCGCAAGCAAACCTATCAAGCAAGTTGGGAAATGTAAATCGCTAAAAACAACTCAAACTTAGAAACTATGGATAGACATGGATATGGACCAGAAAGAGGTTTAGGTTTTAGGAGATCTTACTTTCTTATCAAAGGTTTAAACCTCATAAGGTCTACCGATCTAAGGGAATCTAGCAATAACATGCAACTGGTGTTGGGTTTTGAACACATTTTTTCCCCTAAAGTTGTATAGAATCAACAGACTCCATTAACCCCTGCCCATATAGAAACGCAATGTGTTAGCATCCTCAAAATAGAGAAGTACTAAGGAGACAACATGTAAATACTGTTAGTGTATATTAGTGTATGCCCTAGAAACCATTTGTGTTATCGGTTTCATAGCATTTTGTCTTGTATCTATATATATCATAAATAATAAAAGAAAGAGTTCTTCAATTCATATATGTAAATTGCTTCCTTTATTCAGTCATGCATTTAAAATAAAGTATGTATATGAATTGTCTAGATGATTCATTTAATAGGTAAATGAATTATCGAAAAGGGTTCCCTATGGAAGCAATATAAATTTGGGCAACTATATTGCACAGTAGGCATACCAGATGCTTCTGAAAGATATAATGAGTTGATATAAGTAT